GAGGAGAGGAGAGGAGAGGAGAGGAGAGGAGAGGAGAGGAGATGATAAACACGGCCCAGTGGCATGCTGATGGCAGTGATTGGACTCAGTGGGTAGTAGTACTGCACAGCATCACCCCAAAATGGGTTGCCTTTATCATTTGACCCTGGACCAATATTAATCTATATATAACTCTTCTTTTCCCTATTCTCTCCTTTAGGTTCACAGGTAGCAGGCGATGGCCTGTTAAATTCAATGTCATGTTGCAGTGCTCCTGATGAACGGAGCGCTGTGCATCTCATTTCAACACGTGTCTGTGCTTGAAATACCAACAGCTTCAATCTCCACCTGCTTAAGCGCAAATCTGCTTCATAGTATCATCTGTATTCATTCTATTCTGAGCAGATACAGATCCTTTATGGTGACGTTTGTTGTGGTGCTGCGCAGATGAGCACATTTAGACGCTGCTGATAGACAGATGATACTACAAAGAAAGAGTAACACAGTCAGACATGTTTACAAAAGTACACAGTGTGTTTTTGCAAGTTGTGTACTTTTGGCATGTCAGTTCAGTTTTGAAAGTGTTTATAGACACACGTTTTAACTACAAAAAGGCAACTGAATATTTCCAACATAATTGTACAGGAAAAACCATGAACACCCATATATATCGACTTTCTTTTTAAAACGTTAATATTTTATTCAGCAAAAATGCACAGAATTGATAAAAAGTGACAGAAAAGACATTTATAATAGATTGCCATTTCAAACAAACTCTGTTCTTCTATTCATCAAATAATCCTGAAAAATAGCATCACAGTTTCCACAAAAATATTAAGCAGCACAACTAATTTGAGCATTGATAAACTACACCAAATATATTACAAATATTAAAATAGAAAACAGTTATTTTAAATTGTAATAATATTACTGTGTTTTTTTTCTATATTTTTTGATCAAACCATTGAAGCCTTGGTGAGCATAAGAGACTTCTTTAAAAAAAAAAAAAAAAAAAAAAAAATCTTACCAACCCCAAACTTTTCAACGGTTATAAATCACAAAAACAAAAGTCCCATCATTGAATCTTCAGTACCTACTGTATAATCCATTATTTGAAATATGTTGATGTACACTAGGGTTGGTGTGACCTGATACAGACAATAGAGCAGAACTGATGAATACTGCACAAAGACAGATGTGTGTCTGAAGCATTTTTCTGCTCTACCCTACAATTTCTCTCTGTCTCAATGACAGCCAAGGACATTCAGTCTTGACTTTCCCAATTACCAGCAGTTAAGTCTCTTCACTACAGATTCAGCTTAGTCCAAACAAAGAGTCACCTTCCTTTACAGTAATATAAAATGACAAGACATTGTGTACAGACACTGATAGGCATAAAGCTGAGACTTAAACACCATAAGAAGAATAGAAGAAAAAAAAGTACTTTGTATTCCTTAGAAGTCGACAACAAAAGAGTTTAATAATATCTCTAGTAAAATGAGCTCACAAGGGACAACCACCTCAACACATGCTCTTCTAGTGCTCTCTCTCTGTGGTTATCCATCAGTGTAATCAATGTGACAGACTCATTAGAGCTCTGACTCAACTATCGTTCAGCAGCAATCACTCAGAAGAAACATCTCCGAGTTCAAACTCCAATCACGAGTGATCTGTACCGAACACAATACATACACGTACATATTACACATATGAAACATATCACAGCTCCACACTGAATGAGGTTAGAGGTTTCTTCAACAATAGGAACTTTTTTGTCTTTTTTTTGTCTTGGTGATTTTTGGAGAGAAAAAAAAAAAGACACAACACCTTTTCTTTTTTTTATATGAAGATCACATTAAAAGTTTCTTGGTAACTGTAACCAATTTTTTATCTTAAAATATTAAAATACATTTTGAAATTTTTATTTTGCTTTAAACTTAAGATTATCCACACAAACAGTGAAATCAACAGACATCATTTCAATATGAATATGTAATTTTTCACCACAAACAACTTTTTTCCACAGTTTTATCAAAAGTTAGTGTACTTGGTTACAAAAGAGAGAAAAGCGTCAGCGAAGAGTATGTTTGTGTGTCAGTGAAGGATATAGTATTCACTTAAGTAGAATTAACAGACCAAGTAAGCCATTAACTGCTCTCAAGCAGGTCCTGTTCCACAGGAGGTAACATGCTTGGTCAATCTGATCAGCTGTCTGTAACCTTAATCTCTAAAACATGCTGTACACAATGATCCATACAACAAAACGCACACACATTTAAGACATGCATTTTCACAACACTGACATGTTAGTATGTCAGTGTCCCTTTGTGACAGCAATCACACTACACTGCTGTGATCAGGAAAAACCTGCAATGACTGTGCTACCTGACCAGTGAGGACACAGAAATTGCACAATATTAGCAAATGGCAGCTTAATTAAATCATGGTTCAGTTAGAAAATTAACATTTGAATGCTTTTTGTTTTTGGAAAGAGAGAGGGAGAGAAAGAAAGGTGCTCTGCAGAAGATCAATGCAGAGCTTCAGTCCAGTGTTCATTTGAAGTGCTAATAGAACCGTTTGTAGCAGAGCAGAGAAAGAGCAAAGAGCAATGCAGTAAATGGCACAGACTTCATTTGCACATCCTCACATGACAGCAGTCCCACAATTTATAAAAAAAAGAAAAAAAAAAAGCTGTACTGTAGGAGGTAGCCTGGTAATATTCCTAATACCTGCACCACCATTTTTCGGTTTGAATGGAAACACATATTATTTCCTGTAACTGTTGGAAAACGATAGTCGGCTTTTCCAGAAAGCAAATCATCAGGTACAAATCAGGCTCATCATCACATTTCTAGTGTCAATAAATGTGTCTATCAGACTGTGAAGGAGATTTGTTCACTACTGCTGCTGATCCACATGATCCATCATATCCACATGATCCAGCTTATAATACCAATTATATTAGATCAGTATGCCATATGTTAAGCAATAAATCTGCATAATGCCATGTTTGAGCAAAATTCTAATCCTTGCTTTTCACATACATACATAACACTATCTCCAAAGTGTTGCTGTATTGCTTAAAAGCCTTTTCTATGTCTGTTATAGCCAAATTCATCTGTTTTCATTCCAAACACTGCCACCTAGTGATGATGAAACACTGTTGCAATAACATGTTTCATTCTAATGTAAGAAACAGCTCTTGTGCAGATGTGATAATAACTGTAATGAGGAAATCTATAAATTGAGTAATAACAGTGAAAATGTTTTATGTTACAACCTAATTTACATGTTTGTTCATTAAATAGAGCGAGTAAAGTTTTATATCATAGTCTAGCAAAAAACACCTTATAGCTTCTACCATGGATGACAGCTCTTGTGCAGATGTGATAATAACTGTAATGAGGAAATCTATAAATTGAGTAATAACAGTGAAAATGTTTTTTAAACTAGGTGTTACAACCTAATTTACATGTTTGTTCATTAAATAGAGCGAGTAAAGTTTTATATCAAAGTCTAGCAAAAAACACCTTATAGCTTCTACCATGGATGAAAAAAAAGACGACGACAACACTGGCACAGTTATAGTTATGTTTATTGACTGCTTACCAGCAATAGATTCTGGTATTAATCATTAAGTGGGATGAAACAGTCTCACTCTTTTTTTACTGCACAACATTTTTTTATATTCCCCTTAATATTTTGGTGCATATTCCAAGAAGAAAAAGACTAAGACTACATCTTACATGCAAATATCTCCTCAAAAGCATTTTAATTAGCTTTAGGTGCACACAGGCATATAGAGGACCTCACAGCCAATAGACATGCATTCAGATTTTGATATCAAGAGGTCTTTAAAAGCTCTAATAAAACAAAGTGTGTGATTAATTGCATCATAATACATCTAAAAAAATTGTTGTAAAGCAAGTGTCTGTGGATGTCAGGAATCCCCTCCACTCTGGCTGACTGACATCCACAGACTACTTTGACTGACAGCTCCATTGAGTCATATACAGCATGTTGACAGCACCCATTAAAACATCCGGTGTCCGGTTAATGTTTTACATGGCTTAAACTGTAACTCAAGCAGCAGCCTGTGAAACAGTGGCAGTATAGATTGTTGTGTATATGTGAGTGAGAGCTGACATGCTAGGGATGCATTTTGGCTCCACGTACTCTCATCTATCAAGTTGACACAAGCCAAGCACCGAATCTGTACTACCAAGCGGACGAAAGGAAGGTCGTTCCATGTTATCTCGGAGAACAATAGATGCCTCTTCCCATTAAGTGTCCTAATGCACAAGTGTCTGTGGATGTCAGGAATCCCCTCCACTCTGGCTGACTGACATCCACAGACTACTTTGACTGACAGCTCCATTGAGTCATATACAGCATGTTGACAGCACCCATTAAAACATCCGGTGTCCGGTTAATGTTTTACATGGCTTAAACTGTAACTCAAGCAGCAGCCTGTGAAACAGTGGCAGTATAGATTGTTGTGTATATGTGAGTGAGAGCTGACATGCTAGGGATGCATTTTGGCTCCACGTACTCTCATCTATCAAGTTCACACAAGCCAAGCACCGAATCTGTACTACCAAGCGGACGAAAGGAAGGTCGTTCCATGTTATCTCGGAGAACAATAGATGCCTCTTCCCATTAAGTGTCCTAATGCGTCTAGACACACTGCCAACAGAAACAAGCAGGAGTGCATGTCCCCCTGCAAAGTGAGTCAAAACCTGTACAACAAATATATTAGCCTGGTTCAAGCCAACCACTGCCAAAACAGTGCTACAATTCATGCTATTTATTATTTTCATAAATAGGGCAAAACTCAATAACACTTTCTTCAATATTATTGATGCTATTTTTACACATACACCAAAATTTTCAATCATATAGTTATCTCTATAGGCAACTTTTAGAGTTCTAGTAGCTCGGAGATCCTCAATGATACAGTCAATGGCTATTAATTCAATAGGGGTGCAACGACAAACAAGCAGTGTTTTCAGCTGAGCAGACTTAGTGTCTTGTTTTTTTTGGTGGGGGGCAATGGTATAATTGAACATGTCATGTGCAAAAGAAAAAACAACAGCATCAACAAGCCAAACACTTAGAAATCTGCCCACCTGATAGTAGTAGCCATTGTCCGTCTGGTATGGATGTGCACTGATGTTGGGGGTCCCAAGTGCCGTTTTCAAGATCTCCTCACAGCCTAAATCACAAAAAGAAAAATATTAGTCCTGTCAAGACACGTCTCACAAAGCACAAACAAGAAAGAGATAATGCCCAGTTATTATCACAAATTCCATGATTACTCAGCAAATAATTAAATATGTGGACATGAAATATTGATTTCAGTTGCCTCTATATTATAAAAATGATATGTGTATCATAAAAATTTGTTGAAAGACCAATAACAATTAGAAGGATTTTAATGTATATATTTAATGTTTTATTAGAGAAAAGATGCATCTCAGATATACACTGACTATTTCAAGAAATGCAGCTTTCTTACTCAGTCACTATGGCTATTGTACTGCATGTATAAATCAGCTTCTGTCACTTTAAATTTCATTAGTTTGTCGACATCTTGTGTTTTCTCAAACCAGGTTTGAATTATTGAACTACACCTGCCACA